AACCCTTAACCTCAATCGGCTCGATCAACATTTCTCCTCCAGAGAGTCCGGAACCAAAGGCCCGTGGCCGACGACTCCGACCCCACTCTACACGTTTACGGCCAATATTGATCTTCGGCAGAAGGCAAGGCCAGGAAGAAAAGAAGAGCATTTCTCCTCCGACCGTGGAGCGGACTGACGAGTTCGGTGTCGCTGAACGAGAAGACTACTTGCGCTTCGTCGAAACTAGTTGAAAAGCATCGCTCTGATACATATTGTATGATAACATGAATAACGACGACAAGTTGCAGAAGCGGAAGAAGAGAAAGCGGAATGACGAGAGGGAAAAGGCCGAAGGTGAGCCAGCGATTCTAATTGTAAGGCCCGGTCTACAATGAGTCGTTAATCGTTAGTCAGAAGTCGCAACTATATGTTGATCCTTTTCCTTTATAGGTGGAAGAAAAAGGACCGACATATAGTTCCGACTTCTGACTAACGACTAACAACTCATTGTAGACCAGGCCTTTGATTGAGTTTCTCTATCGTACTGTCGGCCTTGCTCGCAAAGTAATCAGATGTACTTGTTATTGACACGCGGTTGGATTATCTATCGCCCAGTTTTACCGTTGCAGATTAACTTTAGTCCCAATTTAATTAAGTTTGTATCCTCTTCCAATTCCTGAAGCCAGAAAAAAGTAAGTTAAACCGAGATCAAAGTTAATCTGCATTGATGGAAATGGACATTAACAGTGGGACACAGTAAGAGGAAGTTCGAAGAAGATTTCCACCACAGAAGTGCACGGAAACGAATAGAATTGTACATAGAGGAAAGTCCCCCATTATAATAAGAGATAGCAGGGTTTTTACTGCATTAATAGGCATCGTCTGCTGGTTCCACCATGAATTTATTGCTCTTGAAGTAAAATCTGTGTAATAAAAAATTTATTGCTAGAAATGAAGGTGGATAAAAAATTGAAGGTGACCTTCAAGCAACTAGTCAAGGTTAAATTACTGACACCATCTTATGTCTCCCTCGAAACCCAACAACTTTTGTCCGAGGCATTTTCCGCTATCATCCCTACCTGAGGAAATATTACCATGTACAGATTAAAATGGCCCACCCTGTATAAAACATATTGGATTTATTATGCATGACAAATGTTTTTGCAGCTTCCACGAACAATCAACAAACTGTAATATCTCAAGAGAAGACGCCAGAGAGGAAGAGAGCGAGAGTGAACGACAGCCGGTAAGATACTTGAACACTTCGCCCTACCAGAAATATAATTGTACTTTAAATTAAATTTTTGACGACAGCACACCTTAGCAGCAACTATATTAACCATAAAGATATTTAAGATGTTTCTATAAGAGATTCGTATAAGGAATGTTCATAATATGTTTGGTTACAAGACTTAGGCCCGGTTTCACCAATGCGAGTTAATCTAATCGGTCCGTTAACTTAACAGGGTGCCAACATAAAACTTCTTTATTAACCTATTTTCTTGGTTAATAAAGAAGTTTTATGTTGGCACCCTGTTAAGTTAACCGATCGATTAGATTAACTCGCGTTGGTGAAACCGGGCCTTAGCAGATCTAGGCCCGGTTTCACCAACGTCGCTTAAGTTTAAGCTTAGCTTAATTCGTTCTTTGTCTCTTTCCAACTGTTACTCTAAAAAGAGACAAACGTGAATTAAACGAAAATTGAAGTTAAGTAACGTTTGGTGAAACCGGGCCCTGTTGAAATATTGGATCATGGATCAATCTGTACGACTAGTCAAAGCTTGGTTAAACAATTTTTATAGTGAGACTGCTACTACTAATACGGATGTCTCGACGGATTCGAGTCAAAATGCGAAGCAGCCGTCTAAAAGGCAGTTGAAAAAGCAGAAGATTGCCCTGCAAGAACTCAAAAGCGCTGAAATGCGTAAAGAACGTGTTTTGCAACAGGCACACAACTATATACTCATGGTAAGTTGTTCAATTCTAAAATCGTCCCTTAACTCTAATAACCGTTTCCCCTCTTTTTTTAAGCAAACGTTCGCATTCTACGTCATTTTTCTCACCTTGAACTAGAAAAAAATCTAAAATAATTCACAAAACATCTGTCTACATTGTAGTCGACAATTTATCATTTTGATAAAAGTTATTGAATGATTTGTCTTTAATGAATTCCAAATACAGTACAAAGGGAGAGACATACGTTCATATCAGGGCCCTGTCGCCGAAAAACTTAAGAAAAACAATCGATCGCATTCGGGATTGCAAGCAGCTATTTTGAAACTTTAGCAACGCTGAAAATTCCAGTTGGTTGAAATTCTTACATCTCAAGTCTTGCCGCTCAAGCTTCTCCGTGCGCCGTGGCACTTTTACTTCGGCTCAGGCGCCGTAAGCCCGCGTGTTCAGACGGAGGAATAAAGTCTTTTAATATTTAAAAAGTTAATTCTGGAATACTTTACATAAATACAGTACGCGAGCGCGCATTCTCTTCTGCTTGTTAATATGTAAATATTTTGGTGATCTATTCACTTCTCAAATTTTTGATACAATTGTTATTACAGTGGAAACATAGCAGAAAGGAATGGAAATTCGAGAAGCTCAAGCAGATCTGGTTGATGGATAATATGATGAAGAAGCATGCCGTTTCTGACGCGATGTTTCCCACCGTTCTGGAGTATTTTGAAGAGTGTAAAGGCAGGGCGCGTAAAGTGTTGATACAAAAAGCTATGGACATTATAAAGAAAGTCGACGAGGAAACGAACGAAGAGTGCAAAAGAGCGATTATGGACACAGTTGATTATATTAGAGCGCGAGAACTTTTACAGACTTTAACACCTGACGAGAAATTTTGAGCTTGAAATAAATGAGGAAACGTTGGGAAGAGCAGCATTTAATGTCCGGCACGAAAGATATGTGAAAAATTTTCACATATTTCTCGTACAATTATAGTTCAAACAATTAATAAAATTCATAAGGCTCTAATGACAACACAAGTACGAAGTAATAAAGGAGTAAGAGCCAAGACAGGATGTGTCTAAATAATTGTAATTTTAAGTTTAGTGCGAAAAATAATACCAATTATTATTAGGTATTATTTTTCGCTATAGACTTAAAATTATTTAGACACTAAATTATAGTTTAATTATATAATGACTGCGATGGTTTATCTGGACAGACAACTTGATTTTGTTAAGAGTAAATTTGGCTGTGAACAATTTCAATGAGAAAATAGAATATATTAGAATTTAATATTCAATTATAATAGATATTTATCCAAGTTTATTCTTATGCAACATCATTTGTATATAATTTTTTTTTCAATTATGATGAGTACAAAATGTAGAAGTCTGTTCACTAATTTTATAGGCAAAGTCTTCTGTTATTTGAAAATTTTTTCAACCTCCGTTGAACACATATGACGTACATTATGTGAAACATTAATGATTATCTTATAACTTCACCTCATCATAAATAAAAACGAGACAATTTATATTTTTAAAAAGGGGATACTCATTGATAAGAACCTTTTACTGAATCTGCAAAGCGCAAAATCTCAACTTGTTTTGCACAATGTTATCTGTATATATATTTATATCGGGATACATTTTACTTAGTGGCTAAGAAAAATTTACTATAAACATAGTTGTGTAGATTTTGAAGCGCAATGTAAAAATTCTCTATACAAGGATTAACAAAAAACTGCGACCATCAGAGGTAATTTACATAACAATTTTTGCTACTCTGCATACTTGTTAACAAATTGTCTGAGCTTGTCGGTGTCCTGTAGACCGACTATTCTTTCGAGAACCTTTCCTTCCTTCATAACGATGAGCACAGGCACAGATCCCACCTGAAAATTAATACACAATAAGAAACGAAGTCCGCTACCTCATAAATTGTCAACCTATATGCTTGTGAATCTTGGCCTCCTTATTTACTTGCTTGTGAAACGAAGTTAATTCAAGTTAATCGTGAGATAAAAGACGTCCGCGCGCAATCGAGCGTAATTATAACCCTGAACTTTTGCCTAGAAAGGCTCAACATTAAATTATACTGTTACCAAATTGGCTGCGCCATCATGATTTTAGATACCTAATTAGTCTAAAAGTGCTAAAGCACTACTTGCCTGATAGTCAAGGGCGAGATCTGTGTTCTCGTCGATATCGACCTTTGCCAACAGTACCTTCCCTTGTTTTTCAGCAACAACCGTTTCTATTCTTGGAGTCAGCATGCGGCACGGATTACACCATCTAGAATAATTGTGCAAATTCTGAATTAACTGTTACAGATTTCATTCTCCAATTCTATTGTCGTCTACATGGAGTATAGAGGGTTTTGCGTAATTAAGAATAAGTACAAGCTCATCTTTTTTAATAAAAAGAGTGAAGGAAAATTACGGCCAATGTATTTACGAGCAATGAATAAATTAACAAAGTAGATGTTTAATTAATAAAAATCAGTAAACAAAAGTCCGTGGAATACATTATATAAAAGAAAAAACAGTATAAAGTACGAGGTAACGCCTTTTTTCCTAGGTTTAATGTAAATAATTATTTGTTAAAAGTAAAGTGTAATAAAATAACGGACGACGTTTCGACTATACTAAGTCTTCTTCAGCGTGTATCTTAAAATTGCGTAATGTTGCACAACGGATCTGTTTTTTTTATAGCTGAACTGGCTGCGCTAGTTCAGAGTTAATCTTTCTCCTTCTAATGTGGAGGGAAAAAGACAAACTCTGAACTAGTGCAGCCAGTTCAGCTATAAAGAACAGACCCAATGTTGCACAATGTTGCACTATTTACGAGTTAAAGCACATGTGGTGGGCCTCGAGATATTTTATAGCTGTTAGAGGAAAATCTATTATGTCACAAGCTCCTAATATAAGATAGCAGGGATGGTACCAGTATCTACTGGTATCTACTGGTTCTACCACGAATTTGCTGCCCTTGGAGCGAAATGTATTCGGTGGAAAAATCATTGTTGGATCGTGTAAACGTTACGCAAAAGATTTGTGATTGAGTTTGGATGTTGAAAGCCTGCTATCTCATATTAGAAATCTAATAACAGGGGATTTTCCTCTATATTAAAATACTTGTGTGAAAAAGGAACGTCGAACAACCGAGGGGACAAAACCCATACAGCACAGATGGTTGCAGTTACATTGCAGAAACGTTGCAATCTTACTGAAATCTTACAGATTGCAGTGCAACCCTGTAGAGACATTGCAGGGATATAAAATTGCAAACTTTCGATAGCAATATTGCAGCAATGTTTCAAAAATAATAAAAATACTATATTTTCTATTTAAAAAATGTTTCTAATTACGAGAATTTTATAATGTTATTT